ATCGGCCTAGTTTCAACAGTTTAACTTGGCCAAGGTTATAAATATCTGAAAAAAGTGATCCATCGGAGTCACTAAAACAGCAAAATGACATGAAAATTGCAGACTCGGTTTGATTGAGCCTGTACTTGAGGGATAATGAAAAGGTGCAAAAATGTATGGATTGGATGATTTCTCCAGTATCGTAGCATAATCTGGCACACCTTGCTTTGCCTTCGCTGTAAGTCTGCAATATTTTTAATATGGTCTTAAAGAGTAAGATGTGAAAATGTTGTGCAGCCATCCACCACCAAGTCAGCATCAACGCCTATTGTTTTCAACTGCCTCAAAATCAGCCACTCCACCTTCTTCTTCAGAAACCCCCAACTCTGATCCGTATTCTTTTTCAAACTTAAGTGTGTATTAACATACAAAGATATTCTAATGATTTTTATGAAAATGTTTGATGATGCGGGATTTAACTAATGAAACATGAACACCCGTGATAAACAGTTTAAGACTATTATATTACTTTCTTTTGTGAATCAGGTGAGTTCTTGAATCGTTTAACAGACTAAATTTTCAAATAGTGGAAACTATTTTGTATAAGTTTGCAGTAAAGAGTTTCCGATGAAACACGAAATAACACCAAGAAAAGTTGAATTTAACATGAAATATAAACAAAGCACTTGATTTACCTAAAAGAGACATGATAAATAGTATTTTTTAACTTAACTTATTTGAGTGTTTTCGTGCTAAAAGGTGTGGGTTTATTTTGAACCAAATTACACATGACTTTTAAATAATACCAGAAATGGAGAGTTTTATGAAATGTACACAAATTCGGATTCTAGTTAAAAGCTTTAATATGTCATTATCGTAATAAAACTTTTCTTAAAAATATTAGCTGTTAAAAGTTATGTTGGACAGAGTTTGCTTTTAATCAAGCTACAATTATTTACACAGAGACTTTTTCAAAATGTTAAAATTCTTTCGGAACTTCTACTAAAATGTCTAGTTTAGTGTCAGACTTAAAACAAAACGCCATTGTATAGCACGCGACTCATCTTACACCCCAATGCCGGGTGAATTTTTCCAGTATAGGTAAAACTAACGGAAATACCAGTCTAATACGCAAGAACAGTTACGTGAGCTTAGTGTGGATAGAGTAAACAACTCACTTCATAGACATGGAAGGAAAATCCTTTTGAACTTGTACACAAAATAGGATTTTATATCTCTTAATCAACTCTTACCAGTATAGGGCACAAATGCCCAGGATGTTGATCTGCCTTCTCCAAATGTTTCCAAGGTATACTGAAATAAATAAAACAATGATATACAATTATATATATAAATACCAAAGCACATAATAATTTACCTTATAAAACAAGCAATTTTCATAGTATTGCAAGCAATCCATAAGTCCCGTACCAGTTAGAACCCCAGCAACATTCTGAAGGGGGCCATTTGTCATTGAATTATGCAATTGAATGAATGAATGACATGAATGAACTTCTTAGTTTGTCTATATCCTAGTAATGTGTTTCCTAGTAAAGAAATTATGTGTATACAACAAATAATCAAAAGATCTAATTTAAACCTAAAGTCTTTTCCGGTTAAACCGGTAGAGGACTAAAGAGTCTAATATGACAACAAGATGTGACAATTCAAGAATTCAAAAGATTCATACTCTATGTATTTAAGATACTTGTCTGGTATTTTAATACAATGTTTAAACTTTGAAATCACATGTAAGCTTTGGAATACTTATCAAAGCACACAGATTTAACAAAGTAACATAAAATTTTATTGTTACCGTTAATAAGCAAATTATAATTTTAAATCTATAACATGCAATGACACATAAAATAAGTAAAATAACAAAATGAAAATGTTTGAATTATTTGTCATAAGTGTAGAGTAAAACAGCTTATGATTTAAAATTGCCTATAATAATAATTGTTAGATGCTCAATTGTATATTTTGTGCTATTAAAACCTCTTGAAATTAAAATGGACAGTTTTATATTTGAAGCAGGGCAAGTCCAATATAAAAATATATCTATTTTATTTTTCAGGTTAGAAATATTAAGAATTCTGATGCTGATTCAACACTTTCATTATCCAATTACATTCTGTTATAATACCAATTTTGCAGTGTCAGAGTGAAAAAGCTCTTACATGAAATGCACAAAAATGTACAAGATCTTTAAACTGCAAGCTTTTTGCAGCACCTTTACCATAGCAACAGTTCTCGGCAACAAACTCTAACAGTGCTTGCCTAGCTTCATTCTCGTCAATTTTTGGCAATCCATAAATAATAAATTATGATAAAGAGCAACCTGCAGGTAACACGCTGTGTACGCCCTAACATGTATGCTTTGTGGCGTTGAACCGGTCGTACAGGGTAAAAAGCCTCACAAGTCAGATTGCTATATAAGGTTGCATTAGTTTGTATCTTAGAAAACCAAGGACTACCAAAAGACTCTATAAGTTAATCTTTGCAATCAAAATCGCACTGTATATCTGTATTATTTTCCTCCATAAGTTTATTTTTATGTACTATAAATCCTCTTGCAGGGCACCAGAGTGTGATACATACGGAATTTCGCATGACTAGAGTTGCATCAAAAACTCATTTATGTTCATTTTTATGACAGCCACACTTTATCAATGCATATCGTGGCTGCATCCTTAACAAAGAAACTTAAAAAAAATAATTGCCTTGAATGGGATCTGACACACTTAACGAGCGCGTTACCCCAGCACCACGGAGAAGTTATACGAAGAATGCCTGAATAAAATCAAGTTATGCTAAATTTAAAATTTCCAAGTGCCGCGTGGTTGCTGTAAAAAATTGCTTCGTACTTCACTTCAGTGTTGTAATATTTTCTGGTCCTTCGAGATCATTGATTCCATTTAAGTTTTGATTATTGAGTACCGTTCAAGTCGGTGCAAGGGGACTTGAAAGATGTTGCATTTTCCATTATCACTCATATACAGACTCAATCAAACCGAGTCTACAATTTACATGTAATTTTGTTGTGATAAATGCTTTCGAGAGATCACTTTTCTCCAGATTTTTGTATTAATACCATTCTATTTTGCATTTATTGACAGGTAAAATCAGCATCAACATAAAAACGGATTGTGATGTCACATTAACTAGATTAAATGGTGAGTTGATTGATATTGTTAAGAAAGATAATTAATTTATGTTATTGTAAAATACGAGGTATTAAATTCGATTACTTATACGCACAGCAGTGTAAGCATTTAGTAGTAAATTGTTTTGTGTAAAGAAGTTAGGATAATAAAATCATGATTCTGAAACAAATTCTTCTGAAACCATTTGGACTGTTAACAGAAAATGAGATATACATTCTTCTGATATTCTTCGGACTGTTAAAATGGAAAACATAAATACTTTTGAAACTCTTTGGGCCTGCTGAAACTCACTGGGGTCTTAAATAAAAAATCAACATTCTTCTGAAATTCGTTGGACTCTTATGACTGTTTAAATGGAAAGGATATATATATATATATGCTCTTGCAACAACAACAACAACAACAACAACAACAACAGACATTCTTCAGAAACTCTTCAAATGATATGTTTAAATGAAAACAGACATATTTTGAAACCGAACAATAAACATACATTATTCTGAAAATCTTTAACAAAGAAACATTTGTAAACAAACCCTCTAAAATGAAAAGCACACATTTGTAGGAATTCTTTGGACCACTTAAACCGAACACTGAATAATTGAGAAAGCTCTTTTGACTATTTAAAACAAATAATGTAGACATTCTTCTGAAACTACTTTGGACTGAATATAATGTAAACTAAAACATGAGAAATTTGAAGAAACTCTGTTTTATAAACATCTGAAGAAATTCTTTTGACTTTTTGAAAATGGAAATTTAGCAATTGTAGAAACTATTAAGACTATCTAAAATGAACATTTGGTGACATGTTTGATGAGTCGCGTGCTATACAATGGCGTTATTTTAGCGCATTTTATGAATGAACTGCGTTGGAATGGTATCATTTCAGCGCATTTAAAAATGAAATTGCAAGTGGAATGTGACGTCATTTTCCCCGCCGTTATGAATGCATATGCTATTGTATATGAAATGACATAATTCTCATCAAAATCGTTTAAATTAGGTAAAGAATTTAAGATATGGTAGAATATGGTAGAAAATGCAGGGGGAAAATATCTGATATGTGTTTTCGGTTCGGATCGGAATATTCGTCCCTCTGAAATCCGCCCATAAGCGGCAACTCTGCAAGCCTCGTTACCGACCAATTGGCGGATCTCCTCGGGTTGGATATTTCGATTCAAACCGCAGCATATGACAGATATGATTTATTTATGCTACTGGCAGGAAGGTCCGGCCTATTAGGAAATCCATACAATCTGAAAATACTTTAAACTGTGGTCAGTTCAGTTTCATTGTTTTGACACTGAATCTCCTAAGATTAATCATTGGACTATTTCAAATTCAAGCTGGGCCAGTCCATTATACAGAGTGTAAGGGTTGATAATGTTTTTGTTTATCAGTAATGCTGTTAAGACAGTGGGTAGCTATTGTTGGATGACTGTAAATTAAATGCATCTTACCAATGTAAGTGAAAATAAAGCTAAGAACAGAACCTCCGTTTCATGTGTGCAATCGTTAGCTGTATGAGGGTAATTTAGTTTTGCTTAAATATTTTTACTTTAGAGTGATAACATTTTGGTATATATGAACTATTCTATCAATCACTTTGTTAAAATAACACAAATTACATATAAGTAAACACATTGGTGAACCCTGTCGGATTGAACCATATTTCCTGTACTGAGAGACAGAAACCTGATTTACTAAGACTCCCCCCTCTCACTTGGTTCTATACATGTGCTTATCTGTGTCCATACAGGTGCCCAGTCACAGTTAGTTCTTGTGTTTTTGAATATTGATTTTATAAAGTTACCTTTTATTGAAATAAGTTATTCCTTATTACATAGGACAACCTATTGATGGCCCTCAAAATGGTCCAGCTCCTGGTCCTTGGAATATTTGGGCAAAGCCTCCAAACTTGTTCCAGAATCAGAAAAAGGAAATAGAGGTTCCTTATACTGCCTCTGTCAAGGTCTGTGATTATTTAGTTTATCTTCTCTATTGAAAACAAAATCATTGAAAACAGTTCAAGTCAGAAACATTTTTTGAAGTCGGTGAGAATCATTTTTGTAATGAGGTAAACACTCTCTCTCTCAAATGTTCTTTTCTGCCATTAAGATATTTTCAATTTTGTTGTGTTTGGGCTTTCTTTAGGGATTCTTTTTTCTCTTTTTTGTATAAGTAGACCAGTGTACATTTACTTATACAAATATGACTCGTTAGGATCATATGAGGCTCTAAACTTTCTTTTTTGCAGCCTTGTCATCAGTGCATGGCTCAAGGAAGTAATACATGCTCTGATTGCTCCGGGCTTGGAACTGTATTTTAATGTTACTCTATGGTCCTTGTGTTTTGTTTTGTTTTGTTTGTTTGTTTTTGTTTTTCTTTTTGTTGTTGATTTAGGCATTTTATTTGCGATTAAAGGCCGATAGTGCAGTATTAATCACCATATTTCTACTGCATAACTAACAACGTAGGGGAAATAATATTTTTACCTACTGTTTAGTTATTGACGTGGATTGTTTACAAGTGTTGTTTGCAATTTGTGATTTCCCTTTTTGTTCACCTGTCACTATATCACTTTTAAATACATTTTCAAATTGTTCATGGAAATTAGCATGAATCTGGAGGCATGCTGCTTAATGATCCGTTTGGCCAACTCCACCAGAAGAAATTTAACTGCAAAGGACAATTTTACGGCAACAGATGGTGGCCAATTCTTTATGTCAGAGGCTTAACACAAGCCACAGAACTTTTATTATTGGAAAAAGACAATGATAACAGCCTGCATATATGTACAGTACATACAGAATCTATTCTGTCGGCTGACCACATTTAGACTTTTATCTTGTTGCCCCTGAAATAGATAATGGACAGTTTTAAAACAATGGCTGGACAAATCCTTTACAAAAATTCAGCAGGTTTAGGGTTAAAGCTGAACATGTTAAAATTGTTGCTCTCATTGACTTTTTAGTCCATATTATACATGCTTGTCTTTTACAAACCAAGGCATATTGTTGCAGATCAGACCCCATTTTCCAAAAAGTATCACTTTGTATTTATTCCTATGCCATTAATAACATTGTGCTGAATTAAAATTTAAGTTTTTGCCATCTCTTTTCAAACAATAAATAATCATGTTTAATGCAAGAAAAAGATTAAAACACGTGCTGCTGGAACAGATAGAAATATTGGGCTTCTTGTGTAACAATATAGTTGTAACTTACCAAAGCCTCATTTCACAGATAGTTGTAGTTTACACATTTTTATGGTGGCATATATTGGATGCCATTCAGAAATCTGGTTACCATGGTAACCACAAGATATTATAAGAATAAGCTTTTACAAAAGGTCTAGAGCTAAAAAATTTATATGAAGTTTGTATAGCCCTGAGGTCAAAGTTCGCCCCGCCCGGGGGTAATGAGTTTTCCTTATATGTATATATTGAGAATCTTTAAATCTTTTTCTTCGAAATTTCAAGGGCTAGAACTTAGATATCTTGCATGAAACAATGTCTAGTGAAACTCTTTTAAGCTTATTCAAATAAAATCTTTGGGATCAAAATAGGCCATGCCCAGGCAATGACATTTATTCAAATAATAGTTGAATAATAAAAGGGAACAACTCATTTTGGAATGTCTTTCATACATGTGTATATGTTACGCAATTTTTCTGAAACAAAGATTCAAAGCTAGGAGAAGGTCAAGAGGTCATGACATGTTTGCTTTTCAGCGATCATTATGCCATGATTTTAGTTAATGACCTCTGACAAGAGAGATAGTAGCTTAACATGGACATTTATGAAATAATTTGAGCACAAAATAAGGACATCATGGTCCACTTCATGTATGTAATGATGATTTTAAACCGTACTTGGTTTCAGAAATATGTAATGTTTAACTCAAAAGCCAGTATTAAGAAAAGTTATTGTAGCTGTATTTCAAAGTGTAATACAGCAATGTAATACAATAAATAACAGCATTTTTGTCATGTAATATTACTTTTTTAATCAATTATTACCCTATGGCCTTTGTATCTGAACAACAGACATATCTGCACATTGTTTATCATTTGATATATTGAAATATGATCTTGACCACAAAATTTACTAGACAGTAATGCATTATGACAAAATTGAATTGTATAGAAACAAAGAAAAATACAATTTATGTTCCTACTATTTAGTGCTGTAAAAAGGCGTTTTTTTCACAAATGCAATCTTGATTTAAAACCAGATATTACCGTCTCTACCAGCAGGATTTTTAAACTTCATATAATCCTTTTGGAGGGGGATTAAGTTTTGAAGATCAATGAAGTTATAGTTTTAATATTACAGGTTAACTGTAGTAGTTGCAGTGGTACAGGTCGTAGGACGGTTTTTGAGGGCGAGGATGATGATAGTTGCCTTTCGTGTCATGGAAGCGGAAACGAAAGGTGCTCCTTTTGTTTTATTTACAGTCATACCGATATATTATCTTTAATACAATTAATTACCTTCATATAGTAAGTAAGTTTGTAAAAAACGATAAAATTATGCAGATAAATTGGTCCATATACCTTCAAACTTATTCACATAAAGGAATTTCAAGTCTCTGGCGGGATTAAAGGTTTGAAGCAAGTGGTTTGGAACCTGCGAATAAGGTCATGAAAGTAGTTATTTGGATAGGAATTTTTGTCACTTGTTATATTTATGTTCTTGATAAGCTGTTCAAAATTGTGTCGTTTTCAAAATTCTTTACTTAAAGAAAGGTTTACATAAAGGGACTCCTCTGACTTTTTTAGACATGACGAGGCAGATATATGTCTACCAATTGATCTATGTCATCAAGTAACTTATGAGCAGATTTAGCTAACTGTCTCATCCAGTTTTTCCAGTGCAATCATTTGTATTGTATGAAATAGCCCAAAAATTAAAAGCGTTGTATGTTGTTGTTTGTTTTTCGAATTTGGCTATTTATCACATATGAAATTCATTTTTAATTTAACTCTGAGTATATCTCTGTGTTATCCTTTGAAGATTTCTCGATCTTTAATGCTTCGTTTATTATATATGTAAGATTTCAAAATTAAATGTTTTTATGCCTTTAGACCTCAGTTGAGTTCATTGTGTTCCTTAACTAAGTATTTTCCCCTTTTACCTTAGATAGTTCCGCAATGGACTTGGTCTGCTTTGGATTTGAAACTATACATGTGTTAAAGTAGTGTCAAATAGAAATTAAATATTTAATGACTGCTTGCATGATAAATATGACCCCTAACATTATTTTTAATTATAATGTCTAAAACGTTAACCTCGCCTTTAAAGCAGCAGGTAAAAATGAATAGGTTTTCGTTTTGACTGATAACAGTGAGTGGTATATTTCATATATGTCACTGATGAAATTACCATATTTTATAAATATGGAAAATATTTTCTTTCATCTTTTTGGAATAAACTGTATTCCATTTATATGAAATACACTTTTCTATTTTTTATGAAATAAATAATTTCAGTCTTTATGAAATAAACTACCTGCCTCCAGATTTATGCTGATTTTCATGAAAATTTTGAAAACATTTGAAAGTAAAATATTTAAAATTGAACCAAACAAGTAGTTTACAAACTGCCAACGGCAATTACAATCCTGTAAATTTCCAAATAGAGGTCAAAAACTAACTACTCTAATATCAGCACTTATTGCACAGAACATGGTGATAACTTCTCGAATTTTTAATACTTTTCTTAAAATCTTGGTTCATTCTCTTTAAGTTGGATTTTATTTTGGCTCATCTGCAGGCATTTAGATTTTAAAAATAAAAATCTGAATTGCTAATGAGAACTTGAACTCAAGTATGAATTGGTAAATATAGCGTATCACCGAGAATAAACATAATGACATTCTTGTGGTTAAATATAAAATATTCAAATGTCAGAATGCATGGATTTATTATTATAGTAGTTTCAATGTTTGATTAAAATACACGTACAGCTTTGCAAGTTGACTATGCACTTAAATTGTTCCAATCTGTTTAGTTTCCTACATTGATTTAAGAACACAAAAGATCAATAATCTAAGCGACGTTTGAAGCAGTTGCGGATACAAATGACGTTCCTAATGCACATAACACCTTCTTTCTTTAAATATCATCTCCTGTTACAGTTGTATGACATGTGATGGATTAGGGCATATAACCTGCGTCTATTGCGAAGGTTACTGTAAGCTGAAATGTTACATTAAATTGACGATACTCTGGTAAGTTTAATCCATCTTAATAATATTCTATAAATTTGTACGATTTACTTTATTGCATAAAACTGGCAATTCTCTGGTAAGAACAGTTTAGTTTCACATTGATCTGACCATACTCTTGTTAGAACAGCTAGGATACACATAAATCTGATAATACTCTGGTAAGAACAGCTTAATTGGACAGAAATCTAAGACTACTCTGGTAAGAACAGCTTAGTTGCACATAAATCTGACAACACTCTTGTAAGAACAGCTTAGTTACAAATAAATCTGATAAAACTCTAGTAAGAACAGCTTAGTTACACATAAATCTGACAATACTCTTGTAAGAACAGCTTAGTTTCGCATAAAGGGGGCATACTCTGGTAAGAACAGCTTAGTTGCACATTATTATGACATACTCTGATGCAAACAGCTTAGTTACACATTAATCTGACAATACTCTGGTAAGAACAGCTTAGTTGCACTATAATATGACATACTCTAGTAAGAATAGCTAAGTCACCAATTAATCTGGCAAAATCGTGTAAGAGCAGCTTAGTTTCACAAAATCGGACATACTCTAGTAAGAACAGCTTAGTTGCACAAAAATATGATAATACTCTTATAGAAACAGCTATGTTACATATTCATCTCAAATGCTCTTGTAAGAACAGCTTAGTTACACATTAATCGGACATACTCTGGTAAGGAAAGCTTAGTCACACATTAAACTGACAATACTCTGGTACAATCAGCATAGTTACACATTAATCTGATATTACCTTGGTAAGAACAGCTTAGTTGCACAATAATATGACATACTCTGGTAAGAACAGCTTAGTTACACATTAATCTGATAATACACTGGTAAGAACAGCTAAGTCACCAATTAATCTGACAATACTCTGGTAAGAACAGCTTAGTTGCACATTAATATGATATACTCTGGTAAGAACAGCTTAGTTACACATTAATCTGACAATACCTTGGTAAGAACAGCTTAGTTTCGCATAAAGGGGGCATACTCTGGTAAGAACAGCTTAGTTGCACATTAATATGACATACTCTGATGCGAGCAGCTTAGTTACACATTAATCTGACAATACTCTGGTAAGAACAGCTTAGTTGCACAACAATATGACATACTCTGGTAAGAATAGATAAGTCACTAATTAATCTGACAAAATCTTGTAAGAACAGGTTAGTTTCACAAAATCGGACATACTCTGGTAAGAACAGCTTAGTTAAACATTTATCTGACATACTCTGTTACGAACAGCTTAGTTGCACAAAAATCTGATAATACTCTGGTAAAATCAGCATAGTTACACATTAAGAAGAGCTTAGTAACACATTAATCAGACACACTCTAGTAAGAACAGCTTAGTTACAATACTCTGGTGAGAGCAGCTTAGTTACACATTAATCTTACAATACTCTAAGTTACATTTAATTTTCTATACACTTTTAACATTTAATTGATTATACCCTTATTAAGCATAGTAAAGAGTACAACATTACAAATATTTAGTTTGAGTTTCAATCTATACAATGTTCGATAATCCTTTTAATTAACTCACCTAAGCTTATTTTAGTAAATCTAGACTTAGTGACTTATGATACTTTATTTCAAGAATGAAATTTAGTGGTAAATCGAACTGAAGATTGCCTTTTAAGGTTTACTTTCTTTTATTTAATGGACAATTCTCACATATTATTGCTATATTATCTTCTATTAAAGGACAACACAAGGCTGAAATGCTGATTTGATTTAGCCGATTGCATTCTTCTAGCACTTCAAAAATTTCTGACTTATTTGTTCAAGAAATACTTCTTTTTTTTAAGTGACGCCTAGAATTCCTTAGTAACTCTTCCTCACAACACAAGAATACTTCCTGTGTACCTTAAGAAGTACTTCATTACATTTAACTAACCTCTTCCTTTCTTGACATCTCGAGAATTTTTTTTATTAAATTTTAGACAACACATGAATTACTGAGTTACCTTACACTGGCAACACTTTTATTACTAAATTACATTTTAGAGATTACACAAGTATCAATTAACAACATTTTATTGACAACATAAGAAAAAGTCAATGATATTTTATCGACACACCAAATATCTTGCTTACATTTTTCTGACAAAGAACAACTTAATTAAAAAATTTCACAACGCATGAATTACTCCATTACATGACAATGACAAAAATAGGAAAATAATAAGTTGCTCTCGTGTAATCGTGTTTCAGGACTAACCATTTACAAGACCACATAGTGGGGAGAACAGCTCTACCAGATCACCTTCTACGTAATGTTCAAGGCCAGGTTGCATTTCAAGAACAACACTTTAGAGTGAGTGAAAATACAGTTCAATAGAGTTGGTAGTTTTATCTTTATTTATAATTTTGGCTTCAAAAGAGGGAGTACAAAGTGCACAAAGGAGAGGTTAATGCTTTAATGAGATCACTCTGCATCCGTCGTGCGTCCGTGCATCGTTAATGGCGTCAAAACTTTCCTTAAAACAAACTCTCCAAAACCAACAGGCCAAAATTGTTATAGCTGAGAGGGACTGTTTCTGGCATGAAGTTCTTTAAGAATTATTAGAAGAGTTCTATTCAATGCTTAACTCTACCATGGCAACTGAAATAAACATTTTCTTCTCAAAACCCAAATAACCATAGCTTAGATATTTAGCATGTAATATCTTCTACTTTTTGCCTAGATATTTAGTATGAAAGATTGTGGTTCTCTTTGAAAATTGTTCAAATCATAGCCCCTGCGTAAAAATTACCCCCGCCCCGGGGGATATATATTTCTTTTAATGTATATAGTAAAAACTTTTTAAAAAATCTTCTTTTAAACTAAAAGAGCTAAAGCTTAATTTGTTTACATGAAACATTATCTACTGAACCTCAACTACGTTTGTTCAAATATAGCCATTGGGCCAAAATTGGCCCCGCATCAGGGGGTCTTTGCTTTATCTGATATGTATATAGTGAAACAAATTCTATTATACTAAACTGGCTTAAGCTTAGATATTTAGTATGAAACATCGTCTGCTAAATCTCTACAAAAATTGTTTCAGTTATAATTCTTAGGTCAAAATTGGCCAGGCCCCGGGTAAGATAGATTTTCCGAATATGTATACAAGATATTTTTTTTAAAAACTAAAGTTAAAGCTTTTAAGTGTGTTCAAATTATAGCTCTTGGGTCAAAATTTGTCCGCCCCATGAGGTCATGGCTTTTCCTTATATAGTATATACTTCAAAAAACTGCAATGGCTATATCTTAGATATTTAGCATGAAACATTGTCTAGTGGACATAAAAAAACAGATTAAAATTATAACCCAAACCAGATAGCACATAGAATTTCTTTACATGTGACTTCTCAAAGTAACCAGTGACTTTCCATAATGAATATCGACTTTTATTATTAAGAAATGACCTTCCACAGCTTTTACTGGCGTCCATAGCAACCAGTGAATAACATGCCAGCCAATTACTTACAAGGCAGCCATTGTCTTTCCATGACATCCATAGACCTCTTTACCAACCGCTGACTTCCATAGCAACCATTGACTTCTATAGCAACCAGTGACCAATATTGCATCTATTGACTTTCCATGGCAACCATTTACTTCCATAGCATTCACTAACTTTTTATAGCAACAGTGACTTCAATAGCAACCAAAGTGTTTCCTTAGCAACCAGTGGTTTTCCATAGCAACCATAGACTTCCAATGCTACCAGTGACTTCCCATAGCAATCATTGCCTTTCCATAGCAAACAGTGCCATTGACTTTCTATAAGGAATATTGCAACCATTGACATTCAAAAGCAACCTCTTGCTTTTTATAGCAAGCAGTGATTTCCATACCAACCTGTGACTTTACATAGCACCCATTGACTTTTCAAAGCAACTACAGACTTCTATAGAACCCAACGACTTTCCATGGCAACCAATGACCTTCCATAGCAACCATTGAATGTCAATAGAAACCATAAACTTCCGACCAGTGATATTCTACAGCAGCCATTGACTTCCATAGCAAACAGTGACTTCAAATAGTAATAAATGACGCTCACAGCAACCAAGTTGACTCCGTAGCAACTATTTATTTTCCATAGCAACCATTGATATTCCAAGTTTACCGATGATTCCCATAGCAACCGTTTGATTTCCGTAACAATCACTGACTTCCGTAGCAGCCAGTGACTTCATAGCAGCCATTGACTTTTCATAGCAAGGTGTAAATTTCCCAAGTAACCAGTGACTTCCATATAGCAAACATTGACCTTTTACAAAACAGCCAGTGTCTTCCATAGCAAACATTAACTTTCCATAGCAACGAGTGAATCAACCATTTAATTTCACAGCATTCACTGACTTCAAATGAAACCACTGAGTTTGTATATCAACCATTGACTTCTTTAGTAACTTTTGTTTTCCCTTAGCAATAGCAACGAAAAAGGTTTTAACACGGGCAGTTTTTTTTTCCAGATACAAATATGAACTACATATATAATATCAGTTTAAGATTTAAACTTTTTTATCTGATTTCGTTTAGTTTACAATATTATTTGTTCCTTGTCATTAAGAGTGTTTATATTCAGGTGATTGATATTATCATGGCTCTTGTTTCAATTTAAACAGCCTACGGTGGTATTAAGAAATAGGATGCCCCAACTGCAGAAGTGTTACAAAGTTGAACATAGGAGGATTAATTGCTCAGAATAAGTAAGAAAAGTTTAAAAAATACAGGTAATGAAGATCAATCACAATTGAATTGATTTTAGTAACCATTAATAGGGAATTTAGAATTACCTCATTAAACATCATCATACTTTAACATAAGTATATGTCTTTAACAACAAACAAGACAATGAGCATGTACTTATATCATGAATAACTTATTGTTAAGCCATTCACAGGTTGATAAGATTTAGAGAGAAAATTTCTTTCCCACAGGTTTGGCCAATTAATAACTTCCCAGATGCTGACATAAACACTGCATCTCAGAGACTTGTTGCCGAGCATGCCACAGCATTTCCCACAGAGAGAATACTCATGCAGGTATGATATAACTTTAATAAGACTGCTAATCAGTAGTTCCTTTATTTAAAGCATTTGTTTTAACCTTTCCTTGATGGACTGTTCTTTTGGAAATTATAGTTTGGGAAAGCTTTATACTGCTAGCTATTGATCTTTAGTCCTCCTGCTTAGCTGAATGGGAAGAGCATTCGGTTTGAAATGTTAGATCCTTAGGCAAGGCGAAATTTCTTCTTTCTTGACAATTGATCTCAGACATTGAGTCTTATGGTTATTTGTCAGTCGCCGCTGATTCATTAAGGACAAGAAATAGTAACTTGTGGAGAAATTGGTTATCACTGGTTTGTTATCTATGAAAGCAGGTTAAGTAGGCTGACCACCATGATATGACCAAAAATGTTTTCAAAATCAGTTAAAACATCAGACAACGTAACAAACATTCCCTAAAAGCCTCTATAGGGCTACTCAGCAAAGCAAGTTATTAATTCAGCTTTGTCAGAGTTTTTGCCCTTGACTTAGTAAACATTTCCAATCATCAACCAATCGCACATGAAACTTTACAGAAATGTTGGTCAGGATGTGTAGTTGTGCGCCTGGGATTTTTGCTTTTATGCCCCCCCACCCCCATTAGAAGAAGAGAGTTATACTGAATCGCTTATGTCGGTCGGTCTGTCTGTCCTTCGGTAGACCACATTGTTTCCGCTGATTATCTAAAATATTTATTAGGCCTATAAAGTCTTCATATTTCACATATTGATTAGTCATGTCTAGCACATGACCCCGATTGTCTTGTGGTCTTTACGTCGAAGGATCAGGTCATATATAGTCGGACTGTCTGTCTGTATGTCCTTCGGTAGACCACATGGTTTCCGCTGATTATCTAAAAAATTATTTATTACAAAGTCTTTATATTTCACGCACTGATTGGTCATAAAAAGTAGTTGACCCTTATTGATTTTGGGGCACTAGGTAAAAGGTCAAGGTTACATGGTTATTAAATGCCAAGATGGTTTCCGCTCATTATCTTGAAAACTATTAATCAGGAAGTCCTCATATTTAATATATTGATTAGTCATATCTATTACATGCTCTTATTGATTTTGGGGTCACTAGGTCCAATGTCAAGGTCACAATGACATTAAAGTTCAGAATGGTCTCTGCTTATTATACGTATGATAGCTTTTATGTAGTTTTAGGCCATGAACGTATTGGTCACTATTTTTCTGTTTCCATAACTGAACACTTCCTAGTACCCAATTCATTGAATGTTTCTATTACAAAATTATCAATAGTATGAGTCAAGGGCTAAAATTGAGGCATATGTGTCGTTTGACTTTTCCTGTTCTGTATTTTATTCCGATTTGTAGTGTAATTGCCCTTAACTTAGTAAAAACTGTTCCAAAATGTTGTGTCATGTGTACCATTATAAAAGTGCTTATTAATAAGCTAGAATTATAATTAACTTTACAGGAATGTTGATCAGCATCTAAAGCTGTGCATCTTAGGTTTTGTGTCTGGATTAATTCAATTATTGTTCTTTGCTTAATGTTTATTTGTAATTTTCAAGGTGCGTCTTGTATAAATAGTATTTGATCTAGGGTTATGAAACTTTACAGGCAAAAATCAAGATGTCAACATAGGAAACATTTGATGCCGATTAATGCCGTAGGGGAGTCATGTAGCATTTTCTTTGTCTGTTCCTCTGTCTTACTGCGTAATATTTCTGACCAACAGAGGCACCAGGTTAAGATTATACCAGTGACACAGGCCTACTACAAGTGGAAAGGGAAAGATTTGGATTATTTTGTGTATGGATTTGACAAGAAAGTCTACGCACCTACATACCCACAACAATGCTGCTGCGGATGTACAGTCTTGTAGAATGTCACAGATGAAAGGGTTACAGGCTAAAAACCAATTGGCGACTTTTGAAATTGCGATTATGCAGCCTTTAATAACAAAAGAAATGATTATTTTGATCAATCTAAATAAACATCTTCATCAGTCCCAAATTAAAACTTTTATGAGAAGTTATATAATTACCTTATTCCACTTAATGTGACCATCTGAGTAGTTTAATTTCAGTCAGTTAATAGTACCAATAACTGACTCGTTGATTTTCAGTTGTGAATACTATCACTGCTATTTTAATTTTTTTTGTTTTACTTTGGCCATTGAAAACTGACAATTCCGAATGCCTTATTGAAATCATGTTGTGCTGCAGCCCACATTGAAAATCGGACATTTTAAATAGATATTACAGTACAACTGTTGCTAATTTCTTGATATTGTATTAGGCTGTACATTATAGGTCGATAAAATATACATGTCAGTTAGAAAAAGTTCATTTAAACTTTTGTTTAAAAAAAGTTAGGCGTCAGAGTACAAACTCAGAACAATTTTATTCATGGATAATTAGGAAGAACAAGTTCGAAATACAGAAGAATTGAAATTGTAATAAAATAACGGCTAAAATTATGCAACTTCAAGATGTAAAATGTGAAAAAAAATAGTTTATGATTTTTTGTACAGAGTGTTACATATAAAATCTAGAAAAACAGTTAGAAAGTAAGAAGTATAAGAGATTTATAACAGTCGCTTGGTTTTAATGATGTATGGTTATCTTAAGGTGTATGCAATGTATTTATTAGTTTAGAGAAACAAAGAGTAATAATGTATTTGTCCAAAATTGGTTTTCAGAATGAAATGACTCAACTAGAGCTCATTCATGTATTATTTGCAGATTTTAATTTTCTAAAGTACTTAAAATGTTTTAATTAAAATGTTTTAATATTGAAAAATTTATAATTGCACTGTCCCGGCTTATATTATCTTCACATAGACTTGAGATTGAAACTGGTCCAGCAGGTGAAATAAACCTTAAATTAAACCTTTGATGAAAAGAAGAGTAGAAATTGTTTTATTTGTATTTTAGAAGATAAATTTTACTTCATTTTAGAATGTTCGCTTTATATATATATATTTATTTTCGTTTTGTGTTTTATACCTTTATTAATAGGATGGTATCTGTCCTAAGTATTTATATACCAGTAATGTCACTATAATTCCAGACATGTTGTAAGTGATAGTAGATTATATTCTTAGTTAACGTTTTCATATTGCTAAAAATACTGTGTAACTTAATTAATGATATATATGTTTTATAAAGTATTGACATTGACCATTGGACTGTATTATATTGCTTACTTGTTATACGTACTGTGTGCGCCGGAGCATATTGTCCGGATGAATTTTAAAATAAACTCTTGAAACATTGAAACTCTTGTATTATTTACAGATGCCACTATTTAATATAAATATGAATTATACCCAGTCAGTTGTATTCATGCTCATGTTCCTCTGCAAGATACGGCAAGGGCCTGAAGACATAAATATTCTGGTTACAAATCATCACTGAAGTGCAGTAACGGATTAACTTCTATAAAATTAAATAAGGAGTTAACTGTTACTGCACTAAGTTGGCGAAATGATAGGTGCGTTATTTTATCTTGTTGATGATTTTGAAACCTTGTTTTATACATTAATTACTAACTGTTTGTGTAAAATAAATCTACAATACAGTAATTACAACGTTTTCATAATGATTAAAAACTTCTCCAAAGTTCCCATATAACTATCCAAGTAAATGAGTAAATGAGACTGAATTATCTAAAGGTAAAAATACTCATTTGTTACTTTGCAAAAATGATAACAAGATTAAATTTTTGATATTTATTTTATTTTTGTGAATACTGACCAAAGCAATTTCAAGCATTGTTATGTCTTGAGATATAAATATAAAGTGCTAGTAATTGTGAATTACAATTATATAAAGAAATAGGGCTCATGATGAAGTCCTTATTTTGTGAGTAGGACTGTTACATCTTCTATGCAAATGTGGGACAATCCAAAGGAAAATGAAAGCTATGGCACAAAAATAGACTTGAGATTGAAACTGGTCCAGCAGGTGAAATAAACCTTAAATTAAACCTTTGATGAAAAGAAGAGTAGAAATTGTTTTATTTGTATTTTAGAAGATAAATTTTACTTCATTTTAGAATGTTCGCTTTATGCTGAATTACAAAAACAATATATAAAAACACTTTTGGAAAAGACCAAATATACCTAAATTAATTGCATTAATAAATTCAGAAAATGAAATAGAAATTAGAAACTTATCAGTGCTTTCGATGTTCGAAACAATATTTTTACAATTAATCAAAAGTTTGTCCCAAACACTGTAACACTGTTTATTATATATATTTATTTTCGTTTTGTGTTTTATACCTTTATTAATAGGATGGTATCTGTCCTAAGTATTTATATACCAGTAATATCACTATAATTCCAGATATGTTGTAAGTGAATTAGTTAACGTTTTCATATTGCTAAAAATACTGTGTAACTTAATTAATGATATATATGTTTTATAAAGTATTGACATTGACCATTGGACTGTATTATATTGCTTACTTGTTATACGTACTGTGTGCGCCGGAGCATATTGTCCGGATGAATTTTAAAATAAACTCTTGAAACATTGAAACTCTTGTATTATTTACAGATGCCACTATTTAATATAAATATGAATTATACCCCAGTCAGTTGTATTCATGCTCATGTTCCTCTGCTAGATACGGCAAGGGCCTGAAGACATAGATATTCTGGTTACAAATCATCACTGAAGTGCAGTAACGGATTAACTTCTATAAAATTAAATAAGGAGTTAACTGTTACTGCACTAAGTTGGCGAAATGATAGGTGTATTATTTTATCTTGTTGATGATTTTGAAACCTTGTTTTATACATTAATTACTAACTGTTTGTGTAAAATAAATCTACAATACAGTAATTAAAACGTTTTCATAATGATTAAAAACTTCTCCAATGTTTCCATATAACTATCCAAGTAAATGAGACTGAATTATCTAAAGGTAAAAATACTCATGAATGATTACAAGATTATATTTTTGATATTTATTTTTGTGAATATTTAAACAGATGTTGTTAAGACCAAAGCAATTTCAAGCATTGTTATGTCTTAAGATATAAAGTGTTTATTGCAAAATACTAGTAATTGTGAATTACAATTATATATAAGAATTAGGGCTCATAATAAAGACCTTATTTTGCTAGTCGGACTGTTACATCTTCTATGCAAGTGTGGGACAATCCAAAGGAAAATGGCAGCTATGGCATGAATGTTGGGAAAATATACTGAATGCCTGTCAATTTGGAAATATAAGAATATAAAAATATCAGAGTCAACCCAATCAAACAAGTTTCAGCAAATCATTTTCCACAAAAGATCTGTTAATATTCACTTCAATATCAAAATGTCAAAAAAGTACATATAAGGCCAGACATAATTAAATTATACAAAACATGTTAAATGAGAAATGTTTTTGTGGTCATGTCTGATATAAAATATATTGCAAAATAACTAAAAACCACGCTGAAATGCCTAGATAAACTGTATGTGTGATGCCTAAGAAATTCATGATTTATGTTTGGACAAAAGAGACAGTCGGCCAGGATTAAATTAAAAGAGCACAAAATCTATTACTATCACATGACTGGTCAGATATTGATATCGTAACAAGAATAAGTTTGAAACTTTCTGACCAGGGAACCTGGCAGTATTCTTATACTGTCTTGAAGTTCTGTACATTTTTATCAACAGAACTTCAAGACATTGCTTTCTAAGTACATTAATAATATTTTTAAGAAATAACATCCTATGAGGTGATATACTTATTTTATTAAGTTTTATAAAATATCAAATTAATAAATTGGTTTATGTTTTAAACATTTGGTAGGGATTAGTAAATATGAAGACCAAATATTAACTGATGAATTAATATATATAAGTTTAAGTTTCACTAGTATAAGTAAACAAAAATCAACAAAATTTTAATATATGTTAATTTATGTTGTATATGTCTACAAATAGTTCTGGGACTAATAGAAAATGTAATTTGAAAACGGTATGTAAAACTATTTCAGTTTATGTCTTGGTTTAGAGCTAGCTAAGAAATGTTCCTGTTTGAACAGAATAAATACAGCTGTAGTCCCCTTGAGTCTTGGAATGCACTTTATCCATTCCCTTTAGATGATGCTGTGTAAGTATTAATTTTATGACGCCGCCATTTTCGCTGATTTCCCCTCAGGAAAGCACTGAAATATACGAAAGACCGGTGGAGACATTTCATCTTCATGAATTCCCGATTTCATCTTAACGAATTCACGATTTCAGTTTAATGAATTCGCGATTTCAATTTCATGAATTCGGAATTTCAACTTCACGTATGTTTGTTTAATCGTGGTAGATTAGGAAATTTCGTTGGCACAAAACATGTCGACCTCGCAAGTTAAAGGTATTTTTTCACGTATGATAATTCATTTATCGTAAATAAAGATAGATGGCTCAATATTTTTAACGGTTACTAAAAGATATATCTATTGTGCTATGTTTGTATGTTTAAGTATGAAAATATGTCTTATTTAAAATAAAGGCGAGAGCAAATTGTTGATCGTGTCGGGAGAATACGATACGGCGAGTTATATACTTTGTATATATTTTATATAGTTAATGGGTGCTTGATAGTAATTTCGTTCTTGATGATTAAGGGGTGGTAATTTTATGATAATTTGACCATTATCGGCATGGCAAATCTGCCGAACGCCTGTGATATAAGTATATTGTAGAATTTTTGATAAATTGCAGTCAAAATAATTACCCTAAAACGATGTAGAATAGATAGAAATAGACGTTGAGTCAATATTAACTTTAGGTAGGTATGGAAGGGTATAAACGCAAAAATTTCATCTTGCCTTCTTACATTTTTGCCTCAATCATCATCAGACTTGGTCAGGATCCTTGTCTAGGTAATTGCTCGGATGAGTTCGAACATGGGTCATCTCGGATAAAAAACTAGGTTACAGGAGCTAAAAATAGAAAAACCTTAATAACACTCTAGTGGTCACATTTTTGACTCAATCATCACTAAACTTGGTCAGGATGCTTGTCATGCTTGCTATAGGTCATCTCGGATGAAAAACTAGATCACAGGAGCTAAAAATAGAAAAACCTTGTTAACACTCTAGTGGTCACATTTTTGACTCAATTGTCATCAAACTTGGTCAGGATGCTTGTCTAGGTAATTGCTCGGATGAGTTCGAACATGGGTCATCTCGGATGAAAAACTAGGTCACAGGAGCTAAAAATAGAAAAATCTTGTTAACACTCTAGTGGCTACTGTTTTGATCCAAATATCCTGGAAATTGGTCTGAAAAATTGTTTTGATGATTTCTAGGTCAAGTTCGAATATGGGTCACCTTGGGTCAAAAACTAGGTCACACCGCCCAAATATGGAAAAACCTTGTTAACACTTAAGTGGTCACATTTTTGACTCAATTCTCCTTAAACTTGGTTAGGATGCTTGTCTATGTAATTGCTCGCATGAGTTCGAACATGGGTCATCTCGGATAAAAAAACTAGGTCACGTGAGCCTAAAATAGAAAAATCTTGTTAACACTCTGGTGGCTACTGTTTTAATCCAAATATCCTGGAAATTAATCTGAAAGTTTGTTTTGATGATTTCTATGTTAAGTTCGAATATGGGTCATCTTGGATCAAAAACTAGGTCACATCGCTCAAATATGGATAATCCTTATTAACACTCTAGTGATCATATTTTTGACTCACCTGTCATGAAACTTGGTCAGAATGATGTCTCAGTAATTGTTCGGTTGAGTTCGAAAGGTCAGATGAGCGATCTAGGGCCATCTTGGCCCTCTTGTTTATTTTGGAACCACTTGAAATAACCTTGAAATAAATAGCGGCGAGGTTACGTCATTCTAACAGCATGCCATTAAATAGAATGCGACTTATCTTGCAAAAGAAATGTATATATGTTATGCACATAAAGCATAGATATTTTGTACTTGAATCATGGATAATTGTAACATAGCAGGCATGAAATTTTAAAAGTAACCGGTTTTCAACAGCAACAGCAAAGGAATGGAAATCAGTGGAGGATGTATATAACGTTATCATTTTTTCAGATTCATTGATTGTATATTTTTTGCCGTTTATGTATACTTTCACATCGATTGTTTATTTCTATCCTGGAAATATTTTATACATGTATACACTGCGGATGATCACGTGACCAAAATCGTACAATGGACTCATAAAATGGAGGCTCAAACGCTCGGTAAAAGCAGTGAAATTGAGGTAAGCATACACTAAACGTTAAATTTATATGTAAAACTAGGCCGCACGGAACCCCTGTATAAAAACCACGTACTGTATTGTTATTGGTTACTTTGTAGTTTATGTTTTTTTGTTGTTGTTTTTTTTGTTTTGTATTTCAGACGCAGAAAAAGTGGTTCCTTTAAATGAAAAGCATGTAAACGTATATCTATGGAATATATACATGTAATGTATATGTTAGATTTTAATATTGTGCTTATATTATCGTTAAATACTTCATCACACCATATTAAGTATATATTCCATAGATAAACGATAGCATGCTTTTCATTTAAAGGAACCACTTTTTCTGCGTCTGAAATACAAAAAAAAAAAAAAAAAAAAAAAAAAAAAAAACATAAACAAAAAAACTGAATTTATTTCCAACATAATTGACAATTTTATATTAATTGAAACATATATTTTGCTGGTGAAATGAATTCTACATTAATATGTAACATGTTTGTATTTTATTTTTGTATTGTAAATACTTTTAAGCTGACGTACACGTGTGTTATCAAAGCAGAATACTATTATGATGAGAA